AAAAAAAAAAAAAAATTAAAATCTAACCTTTTTTATTTCTTTTTTAACCTACTGTATTTTATATAAATGAGTCCCATGTTTCATTGTACTTGTCCATACAAAGTCTACGTCTGTAGGCAATCCACTTGTAAGTAGCAAGTGATATCAGGTCTTCAATCCATTGAATAAATGGGGCCATACATTTATTTTTGCAATGCTGCAATATCAGTCTTTTGGCCATAGTAAGGGCACAGAGAATCCATTTCCATTGTCCAGTTGTCAAGTTCCATGTCCTAGGTATATAGTTCAAAAGAATATCATCCTCTGAAAATTTTAGATTTTGTTGCATAATCATATTTATATAGTCCATTAATTTCTACCAAACTGTGGTGAGCATAGGACATTGTAAAAACATTTTAAAGAAGCATTATCCTTATTACATCTCCAACAAAATGCTGTTTTTGACAATCCTTTTCTATACAAATGTAATGGAGTCCAATAAATTCTAAATATTATTTTTTGTTGTATAAGTCATAATTTGAGGTCCACTGACATTCTTGCTATCATTGTAAAAACATTTTAAAGAAGCATTATCCTTATTACATCTCCAACAAAATGCTGTTTTTGACAATCCTTTTCTATACAAATGTAATGGAGTCCAATAAATTCTAAATATTATTTTTTGTTGTATAAGTCATAATTTGAGGTCCACTGACATTCTTGCTATAAAAGTTAAGACACTCTCCCATTTCTTTTGACAATATAGGAACCTCTAATTCTTTATTCCGCTCATTTCTTAACATTTGCATATCAAATTGATTTATTGATACTAAATATCTATAAAAACTAATAGTAGGTTTTTTAGTTTAAAGAATTTATAATAGTAGGTTGTTTAGTTTTAAAGGATTTAAAACCCTAGCCTTAATCTACTTCCTCATTTTTCTGAACAGGAACTTACTGACGTAAGATTGATTCTGAGAAGAAACTATTTTTTCTAGAACTGTGTTATTATACTTTCCCTCCAACACCAGTTTTCCCTGAGCCCTGATAAGATAAGGAGGTAAGGAAGACTCCCCATCCAGAAGATAACTAGATGACAACAGATAAGTAGATAATAGAGGTAAGTTTACATCAGAAAAACATTATTTTGCTTAAAAGGTGGGGGGGGGGGACTGTAAGCTTAATGGTTAGACTATCACCATGATTCAAAGCTTAACCTGCTACACTTTCTGGCCCTTTCATCAGTATGGCAACTGGCAACTATCACACCTCAACAAAATACAGTTCCCAGTCCCTTGCCAACTAAAGTAATCTGGCATTTCTAGACCTCCAAAATCCTCTCATTATAATCTACACATACTTCTATCTATCTGTCAACCCAATGTCCTGTTCTCCATCAGTTGAAAAACTGCTGTCTTTCAAACAGCCTCCCCTATCTTTCCTCTTGACTTCAAAGGCTATCATATTATAAATGTTACACTCTCCATATTTTTATATTTTTACTATTATGCATATGCATGAGACATCCATGTATGACTGCATGTATGTAACTGGATATATAGTTTATTATTTATATAATTTCATTCAAAAGAGGGCATAGCAGTAAGTTACCAATTACCTTACTATAATGATTTTCAAATATTAGGATGTAACTAGATTATCTTTCCATTTATTATTAGTAGTATTATAATTACTATTTGCTAGATTGGTGAGAATCAAGGAATAGGGTAATGCAAGAAATCCTGCATTTTCTGCAGTCATGTTATTTAAGAATAGGTATGGTATTTATACTGTATATATGTTGCAATATATGTCTGTGTAATGCAAGAGGGCTTCAAAACATGCATTGTCTTAAGATATCCTTTGCTGTAACTGCTCAAGTAAAATCTTATGCATTTCTGTTTTGAAGAAACTCTTTGAATGGCTTATCCTTGCAATCCTATAGCCATATACCTGGGAATAGCCCTTCGTGAACTTAGTGAGGCTTATTCAGATATGTACTGAATATTACTGTAGGCCACTATGCATATCTGAAGAATTATGCAGCTGGGGACATCCTTTTTTTTCCTTATGGAAGTGTGAGATAGGGATATAAAAAAAGTCCCACATGGAATTTCTGTAGATTTGGGATTTCACTCTCAGAAGTAAAATCAGGCTAGTATTTTTCTGACTATCATGCATAGATCAGGGAGTTGTACTTTTAGAAATGTAGAAGGTAACTAGATGACAACTGTCTGCAGGATCTCCTCCAGCTTTGTTTAGCTTCTAATAAACCAGGCATATTTAAAGCAACCCCTGGTTTTTTGCAGATGATAGTTGTGACAATGACAATCACCGTATGTAACAACAATCCAATAAGAATGTCATACTTCCCATTCACAAACTTGTTAATTTCACATCTCATTTAACAGATATGGAGAAAGAAGACAGGAAATGCTAAAACTAGATGAGCCAGAAAGTATAAAGAAGAACTGAAAGTAAAGAGAAAAACTAAACAGAACAATAGAACTCTAACAAAACTTGAAGTTTTATAAGTGAATACAAAAATATTGCAATACAGCTTTTATTCTCTGAATTCATTCTTTTGCTAAGCTTTTCAAATCCCTTCTTCAGCCACACTTTATTTTTATTTTTTTAAACAGACATGCAACATTAAAAGTTCAGAAATCCATCTCACCCAAAGGAGCATTTCTTCAAGTCAGCTATTAACAAAGCTTTCTCTTTTGGAAAAACCAGTCACACACATTGAGTCAGAGGTAGGTATATCACGTTTTGTCACACTATAAAGTAGTGGGGCCATAGCTAATTTGGGGGAAAGTCAGGAGGTTATAGGAGTCACATGGGTTCCTTAAAATGTTCATTTTGCTCCTTAAATTACCATCTTACACACACACACACACACACACCCCAGCAAAAACAAACAAAAAATCACCAATCTAGGAGGCCAGGATTGTGAGACTTTTTGAGCTGCTGGTATGGTTAAAACTATATTCTATTATCTAATGCCTTGAAAATTATTATTAATTCTTGTCCACCATAAAAATCTCTACTTGGACTGGTTAAAACATTGCATGTTTTTAGGGAACATTTACAAAGGAATTAAACAACATAAAGGCCTTGATACTATTTACAAATAAACAACTCATTTCTTTCATTCTAGACTTCTTTCCTGTTTATACGGAAAATAAAATGATCACCATTCTAGGATTTATTTACATGAGCTGGCTCATTGGGTTCTGCTCTGCATTACATGTTGCTTTTCCAAAGGAGAAAGGTAAATATGTACTTTCACAATGATTTTCAAGTTCTTTTACATTGCAATTTTATCCCTCGCCGTTCCCTGAAAAGAAGGCACAGTTGCTAATTGTTTCCATGAACCAGTAACATCAGGAGCTATGTTGATATATTACTCTCTCACTGCACCAGAATTGTACTGATGTTATGCTGTGCTCAAGTGTAACAGCCATGCTACTGAATGTCAAACCACAGTGGAATGGGGAAAATGCATGGATTTAAGACTCTACAGGGAACAAAGATATCTTATTCACCCTTACCCATTGACGAGTAATGATGTTTTATCTAAGTTAGCTGTTAATATGGTCCTTCCAGGCATTGCAGCACCTACAAATAAATAGCATCTGCGGACCACAAAATTAAATACAAATGTACCTTTAAGAACCATAAAATGGCTCGAATCTCACCAAAATCACAAGATTTCAGGATTTTGCATAAGATCTTAGGAAATGATATGAGTTCAGATTTAACAAATTTACAAGACTTGAACAATTTTTAAAAGCTTAGTGGGGGGACATCTAAGCCATTATATGATACTTTTAAGCACTTTATAAGATTGTCAGACTTCTATGTTTGGCTCCAATGCATTTGGAAGGAAGAGACAGACTTGCTGTCTCTATGCTCTGCATTTCATATTATATTGTTCTCCCTACCAATACACACATAGACATCTATGACTTAGCTTTGACTTGTACCTTAGTGGGCAGCTTCATGGCTCTAATTATCATACATATTTTCTAGGGAATACATCCTCCCTGCAACCCTGGTATATGTGTGAGAGAGATAGAGCCCCCATACCTTGTTACTGTCTGACAATTTAAAAGATAAACAAATAGAGAAATGAAATACATGTTATAGTGTTATCTTCTACTCATGTAATGCCAAGGCATGTCGCTAGAGAAATCAGATCCTTCTCCCTTGACCTTTTGGATGATAAACTAATCCCACAAGAAATAAACAAAATCAAGCTTTATATTTAAAAAAGGAAAAGGGAAAGTATTCTTTTTAAAGTTTTAGGGCTTTAGATAGTCAAAAGAAAATATTTATTGGCAGATGAAATAAAAATTGTAAAGTTGTTCAAATCTCTGATAATGACTTAGAAGGATCTCTCATAAAAAAACTATAAACAGAAAACATGAAGTTCTGGGCAAACCACAAGATGATACTAATAAAAGAAACCCTGCTGTAAAGAGATACCTACTTTCATAAAACACACAGTGAGCTTGTACAAAGAATATAAATAGAGAGATGAACTATTAAACTTTAAATATATGGATGAAATAAAAATTAATCTTGAACAATACATCTTTTGAAATTACCTATTAACCATCTTAAAGCTATTAGAAACCTTCTGAACAATAAGTCTGAAAAGTAATCGAATGGATTTTATCTTCAATTCTGAACAAAATAAAAATTAATTATAAGCCTAAGAACTTAAATAATTTGAAATAAACAGCAAAAAGCTAAATAAGATTTTGATCTAAAAAAGTTATAAATGGATTCAGGATGTAGGTAATGGAATATTGACTTTTACTATAAGATTTTGGAATCTATATGCTACAAAAACTCTCGTGTGGGTCACAGGGCAACAATTTTTGAACCAAGGTACCTCAAATGGGCTAACTTACAGAATGTGCCCAAAATATGGGACCCATAGCTCCCGTGGGATTGAAATTTGGGAAATTTGTGGCCGCTTCAGCACTGCTGTGCTGCCACCACCACAGATAGCCCAGGTCACGTGATCGTCATGGACATATCCCTGACCTCTTTCCCACATCCCTCTGTCTCCTGCACCCAATTGGCTGGCAGCAAGGCCTGACGGATGAGTGGTGATTGGCTGCTTTGGAACCGAGGCAGAAATTTGAAATCTCTTAACAGTGGTGGGCATTGAGGGAAGGAAAGGGAGCAACTCAGATGTCTGCTGGCAAAGTCAGGCTGGCTGGGGGGTGCTGGTGGTTGACAGGTGAGCCCTCTTCCTCTCTCAAGGGAGGGGGCCCTTGGGGACATGTTGGAATGGAGAGTGAGGGTGCAGTTTTCTTCAGGGTTTGTGGCTCCCTTTGTTCCACCTCTCCACAGCAAAGTGGCAGGCAGTTCTGAAGGTCAGCTGAGGAAGAAGAGGCTTCACCAGGGCTTTCTTGAGG